CCAGGGTGTTCTAAGCAGTGCAGATAAAGGCTGCTGGCCCATGGAGTGGGGTGAGAAGGTCCCGGGCTTAACAGTGAGCATAAATCACTGCTTTGGCAGTCTACCATGCTATCCATCAGAGAAGCCTTTTAGTGGAAAATGCCAGAGGCAGCAACCCAAAGCAGCTTGTACAAGTCATCAGTTAGTTTGTCACTGAGGCAAATCATTTGAGAGGGGATAAAGGTAAGATCTTGACATTCCTGGGACAGGAAGACTTCCAAGACTCACCTTTGAGCAGCTCAGCTTCTCCTACCCTGGGGAAGGTAATTGATGAGTTAATTAATATGCACAGGAGGTGCAGGGCTGTCCTGAAAAGACAGATCGCTGCTGAGCCTCACTATTATTACTAAAATGATCCCAGTCTTTCAATTTGATTGGGAGAAACCAGTTTCCTGGGGAAAATCTCAGTAAAATCATTGTTTTCCCATTGTCAGTTGGAAATCTTGTTAAGTGCTCCAAGGACCCTTAGTTTTATGGGTTTGTGTTCTAAAGCCCCGGCAGCCTTGGCTAGAATCTTACTCTAAAATAACATTTCCTCTCCGTAAAAAATGTCTTATTGCTCCAGGCTCTGAGGCTCAGAGACCTTCATGAGCTTTTGACTGCAGGAGACCCAGGGGTGAACTGGAGCTCGGCAATTTATGTCAAATCACACACACAGACGCGGTTTGCTCCGTCCCCTCTGCTCCCTCTTTGTCCCCTCATTACTTGCCATCTCTTAGCAGATGAGGTGGGGACTCCTGCCGTGATGATGACGACAGTGCCGCCATCCGACAATTCAGAATTAGCAGTAGATGCACAACAGTAAATGACAGTAAATCTTTTTCTTCTTTTGAAATGGACTTTATTATTTAGAGCGGTTTTAGGGTCATAGCAGGCTTGAGCAGAGAGCTCGGAGAGTTCCCATGTACCCCTGCCCGGCACAGGCACAGCCTAATCCACCGCCAACAGCCTGCCCTCGAGGGTACGTTTGTTACCTGGATGAAGCGACATCCACACATCAGTGCCCCGCGGAGCTCACGGTTCACACCAGGGTTCACTCTTGATGTCGTGCCTTGTAGGGGAGCCAGAGGTCATCTCCAACCCCCCCTTCAGCTGGATCTGGAAACCAAGCTGACGCCAGGCAGATTCACAAGAGAAAAGCACACGCATTTTAGTAGTTTTATGTGTGCATGGGGGTCTTCGTAAGAAAGGAAAAGAAAGTCCAAAGAAGTGTCTGGAGCAAGATGTTTTTATATTTCTTAGACAAACAGTGACACATTTGACAAGAAACGACAGGGCAAAGGGGGTCTGGCCAGGGGCAGTACATTTCTAGGGGAGTCACTAGCAGATATATGTAGGGTATAAAAACCAGAGGAAGACAAGGGTTACTTCAATAAGTACATTCATTTGGGTCCACTGCAGCCCCCTCTTCCCCGTCTGGTGCTAAGGGGTGTGGAGACGGTGACCCTCCCACGGGAATCTCTACGGCTTGCTGCATGCAGGAAGAGACAGGTCAGCTAGACGTCTCTGAAACTGCAGTTTCTCCAATGTTTTCTGCCCAAAATAATCGGCATAGCATATTTTGGGATGGCACATCCTTCACTCCTTCAACATTCTATTTTTTTTTTTTTTAGACAGAGTCTTGCTTTGTTGCCCAGGCTAGAGTGAGTGCCATGGCGTCAGCCTCGCTCACAGCAACCTCAATCTCCTGGGCTCAGGCAATCCTGCTGCCTCAGTCTCCTGAGTAGCTGGGACTACAGGCAAGCGCCACCATGCCCGGCTAAGTTTTTCTATATATATTAGTTGGCCGATTAATTTCTTTCTGTTTTTAGTAGAGACGGGGTCTCACTCTTGTTCAGGCTGGTTTTGAACTCCTGACCTCGAGCAATCCGCCTGCCTCGGCCTCCCAGAGTGCTAGGCGTGAGCCACCGCGCCTGGCCTTCCTTCAACATTCTATGGGGTTTGGGCAAATGTATTAAAAATCCTCTGTGCTCCACCTGTCCATCCCTCCTTGTCCCCTAACTACTGGCAACCACTGACCTTTCTACCGTCTCCATAGTTTCGTCTTTTCCAGGATGTTATAAAGTTGGAATCATACAGTATATATCCTTTTCAGATTGATCCTTTCACTTACTAATATGCACTTGGAGTTCCTCTCTGTCTTTTCACAGCTTGATAGCTCACTTCTTTTAGCCCTTTATTTATCAGTGCAAAATAATATTCTGAATGTACCACAGTTTATTTATCCATTCACGTATCGAAGGACATCTTGTTTGCTTCCAAGTTTTGGCAATTATGGATAAAGCTGCTATACACATCTGTGAGCAGGTTTTTGTGCAGACATAAGTTTTCAGCTCTTTTGAGTAAATACTAAGGAACATGATTACTGGATCATACAGTGGTTAAGAGTACGTAAGAGTGTGTTTAGCTTTGTAAGACACTGCTCAACTGCCTTCCAAAGTGGCTGTACCATTTTGCATTCCCACCAGAAATGAAGGAGAGTTCCTGTTGGTCCACATCCTTGCCAGCAATTGGTGTCGTTCTGGATTTTGGTCATCCTAATAGGCATGCAGTGGTGTCTCATTGTTGCTTTAATTGGCATTTCCCTAATGACATACGATGTGGAGAGTCTTTTCACATGGTTATTGGCCATCTGTATATCTGCCTTGATGAGGTGTCTGTTCAGGTTTGTGGCCTATTTTTTAATTGGGTCGTTTGTTTTCTTAGTGTTGAGTTTTAAGAGTTCTTTTTATATTTTGGATAACAGTCCTTTAGCAGATATGCCTTTAGCAAATATTTTCTCCCCGTCTGTGGCTGGTCTTCTCATTTTATCAGAGTTTTATAGTTTTCTTTATATAGATTATACATATTTTAATAGATGTATCCCTTAATATTTCAATTTTAGGGGTGCTAATGTAAATGATACTGTGTTTTTCCACTTATTTATTGCTGATATATAGGAAAGTGGTGGACTTTTGCTTATGAACCTTATATCTTGCAACCTTGCAATAATTGCTTATCAATTCCAGGAGGTTTTTTTGGTCCATTCTTTCAGATTTTCTATATAGACAATCACGCCATTGGCAAACACAGGCAGTTTTAATTTCTTACCTTCCAGTATATATGCCTTTTATTTCCTTTTCTTGTCTTATTGCATTAGCTTGGGCTTCCAGTATGATGTTGAAAAAGAGTGAAAAGAAGATCCATCCTTGCGTTGTTCCTGGTCTTAAGTTAGGGAAAGCTTCTAGTTTCTTGTCATTAAGTACGATGTTAGCTATAGGTTTTTTGTAGAAGCTATTTACTAACTGGGGAAGTTCCTCCTCTATTCCTAGTTTGCTGAGAGTTTTTATCATGAATAAGGTGTTGGATTTTGTCAAATGTGTCTTCTGCATCTATTGATATGATTGTGTAATTTTTCTTTTTAGCCTGTTGATGTGATAGATAACATTGATTTTTTTTGAATATTGAACTAGCCTTGTGTACCTGAGATAAATCCCACGTGGCCTTGATGTAATTCTTTTTATACATCGTTGGATTCCATTTGCTAACGTCTTGTAGACGATTTTTGCATCTATGTTCATGAGAGACATTGGTCTGTGGTGCTTAATTGTCCTGTTTACTAGTCTGTGTCCCCAGCCGGACCGAAGCCAGCGTGAAGTCAGGGGTTCTCCCTGTTTTGTTCCACGTTGTATTCCCAGCACATATTAGTGCCTGGCACAGAGCATTGCACTGATGGATGTTTGCTGGATGCTGAACGAATGAATGGGGCTGGGGATGTCCAAAGGCATCCACAGCACCACGGGCGTTACCTTGGCGATCGCAGGTTCAGAACCCAGACTCCTCGGCAAATAGCAAGCAGATCATACCAGACCTCAGATGTGGTCACTCGTTAACTGAGCCCCTAGAGGCTGATGAAAATATATGGATTCATGAGACATAAAACTTCCAAGGAGACTGGGCACAGAGATCTGCCAGGTCAGGACGTTTCCTCCCTGTATGTGGGTTATATGGTTGGTTGGCAAGTTTTGAAAAAGACATGGAGCTTTCTGAAAAGAAATCAACATTAAGTTGCCCGAGCATTTATCTCCACAGTAGGATGAAACTCCCAAGCAGGCTGTCATTTCCTGCAGTTGGGACATTGCTCACCAGACACAGGTACCTAAGGCATTGTCAAATTTTGCTTTTCTCTGACTTATTTCCTTTCTTCTTCATTTTTTTAATGTTTCACCAACCTTCCTTCTGTTGACTCTGTTTTTTTCTTTATTTTGCTTTTTATCTTATTTATTTACCTAATTTTTTGGAGACGGGGTCTCACACTGCCTCCCAGGCTGTAGCTCAATGGCTATTCACAGGTATCATCATAGATCTCAGCAACCTCAAACTCCTGCCCTTAAGTGATCCTCTTGCCTCAGCCTCCCAAGTAGCTGGAACTACAGGCATGCACCACCACTCCTGGCTAATTTTTCTATTTTTTGTAGAGATGGGGTCTTGCTCTTGCTCAGGCTGGTCTAGAACTCCTGAGCTCAAGCAGCCTCCTGCCTTGGCCTCCCATAGTGCTAGGATTACAGGTGTAAGCCATTGATTGTGCCTGGGCAGCTTAGGCTGGTCTTGAACCCCTGACTTCAAGTGATCCTTCTGTCTCAGCCTCCAAAGTACTGGGATTAGAGGCGTGAGTCACCTTGACATGGAAAATGTCGGTGCCTGGGCGCGGGCCGCTTGCTGCCTCCCCGTCGCTCTGCCTCTCAGAGGGCCAGTGCTGCGCCTGGCCAGTTGGAGGGCACCCTGCTCAGCAGAGAGCCGCCTGGCCGCTTGCCGCCACCTGTTTCCCGCCGAGCTGCTTGCATGATCCTGATTGGGTAATTTTTCAATCCCACTGTTGCTGATTGGATGTTAAAGCTTGTAGTTGATTGGATGTTTTTTGAGCCCTACCAAGGGTGTAAAAGCAGGAGGAGACCAAGTAAGGGGGTCAGAAGATCAGAAGACAGGAAGAGAGCTGTAACACTTGGTGGGTTGAGCTTGCCCGAAGAATAAAGACTGTTCTCCGACTCTTCGTGTGCCACTCAGTTTTTTCCAACAGTCAAGAGCTGTAACATTAGCTGTGACACTTTGCCGCAACAACCTGGCTTGGCTAGCTTTTTATTTTTAAATAATTTTAGACTTTTGGAAAAGTTGCCAGACTAGTAGGGAGAATTCACATGTCTTTCTCAGCTTCCCCTAATGTCTGCTACTTACCTAACCAGAGGTCAATTTTCAAGGCCGGAAAATTTGCATCTTTATAGTACTAGTAATGAAATGGCAAATCTTATTTGCATTTTACTAGTTTTCCTCCTAAAGCCATTTTCTTGTTGTTGCTGTTCTAGGATCTAATGTTACTTTTTTTTTTGAGACAGAGTCTCTCTCTGTTGCAGGCTAGAGTGAGTGCCGTGGCATCAGCCTAGCTCACAGCAACCTCAAACTCTGGGCTCAGCGATCCTTCTGCCTCAGCCTCCAAGAGCTGGGACTACAGGCATGCACCACCACGCCCGGCTAATTTTTGTATTATTATTAGTTGGCCAATTAATTTCTTTATATTTATAGTAGAGACGGGATCTCACTCTTGCTCAGGGTGGTTTTGAACCCCTGACCTTGAGCAATCTGCCCGCCTTGGCCTCCCAGAGTGCTAGGATTACAGGCGTGAGCCTCATGTTACATTTTGTTGTCATATCTCATTCACCTCCAATCTGTGGCAGTTTCTCATTTGTTACTTTTCTTTCATGACCTTGACACTTTTGAAAAGCATTGGTCTGTTACTGTGCAGAATGTCCGTTTGAGTTTGCGTGCTGTTTTTTCCTTGACCAGATTGGTGCCATGCAATATTGGGAAGGCTACTACAGAAGAGATGCTGTGTCCTTCTTGGGGCATCACGTCAGAGGGTACGTAATGTTCATATCTTATTACTGGTCACTTGGTTAAGTGGCATCTGCCGGGCTTCTCCACTATAAAGTTCTTTTTTCCCCCTGTGATTGATAAATATCTTAGGAGAGATACCCTAAGATGATGCTAATATTCTGTTTCTCCTCAAACTTTCGATTCCTATTTTGTCCCCAAGATTTTAGCTGCTACCTTGTCTGCAACCATTATTACTCCTGGCACATTACTGCATGAAACAGTGTTTTAAATTATGCATGTAGTACATGAATGCAGTCTCCCATACAAGTACTAACCAGGCCCAACCCCGCTTAGCTTCTGAGATCAGGTGGATTAAGGGCGTATGGCCATAGACAATAAATGCAGTCTCATGTTCAGTTTACAGAATATAACTTAAAGTTCCCTTCGCTTCTTGTCACTCAGGACTGCTTCCAGCCCAGAGGCAGTATCTGTCACACAGTACCTTTCCAGGCCTGTTTTTAAGTATGTTAAGAAAAATCTCCATCCTACTCCTCTTCCTCAGTCACCCTTGCTCTCTCTAGAGGCAACAAATGTTACCAGTTTCTGGACTATCCACCCTGGCATTTCTATGCATTTAAAGCACTATTTATATTTATAAGCTTCTCCATTTTTTTTTTAACACAAATGTAGTATACCTTACATACAGTTCTGCACTTTAATTTATATTTTTACTTAAAATACACTTTGGAGATCATTCCATTATTAGTACATAAAATGTCTCCTCATTAGATCTAATGGTGGCAGAGCATTTTAATTGCAAGGATTATTTAATTAGTCCCCCCTTGATGGATGTTTAATTAGCTTTCACTCTTTTGGTCTCTTGGTGATGTGGCAATGTATTATATCTTCATGCAGATGCAAGCATTATTTGTAGGGTAAGTTCCTAGAGGTAAAAATGCTGGGTAGAGGGCATGTGCATTTATAGTTTCCACAGATATTAATAAATCATCTCCCCATTGAGGTTTATAAATCTGCACGCTCATCAGCAATACATGAGAGAAGCCCTTTTCCCTTATTAACATAATATATCGTCAAATGATTTGCTCTTTGCCAACCTAATAGGCAAGAAATGATATCTCAATGTACTATTTTAAAGCAAATTTTTATTGACATACATGTGGAAATATGTACAAATAAGCGTACGGCATCATTCATTTTTACAAAGTGAATTAATCTGTGTAGTAGCACTCAGATAAAGAAACAGAATTAACCAGCACCCAGAGCCCCCTTACCCCCAACTCCCTATCCCCCAAGATAATCACTATCCCAACTTTTAATGCCTTCGATTAGTTTTTACCTGTTTCCAAACTTTATAGAAATGCAGTCATCCTGTGTGTCTTTTTCTTTCATCAATATCTCAGTGAACCCTGTTTTATGTTTAATTTCGAGAGCAATGAAATAACATGTCCTATGTTTTCGGAGCTATTTCTTAAATTCCCTTTTCTGTGAACTCTCTGTTCATATCCTTTAGCAATGTTTCTCTTGGGCTATATAAGTCTATACTCTTATTGGCTTATAGGAGATCTTTATATATTAGGAAGTTAGCCCCGTGTGATAGAAGTTTCAAATATTTTTCCCAGTTTATCATTTGCCTTTGCCTATGATGGTTTTTGTCACATTTCAGAAAAATTCTTGGGTGGTTGAATGATTGGTTGTTTGGGGTTTCTGAGGTTTGTGTCATATTTAATAAGGCATTTCCTATGCCAGGATTTAAAAAAATTATTAATATCTATAATTTACCTAGTTTTTTTTACATTTAAATCTTAAAACGATTGGTTGTCTTTCAATTCTAAATAAATTGTAATTTGATTTTTAAATTTTCTCTTAAGAGTTATTTAGGAGAACATTTTAATTATTTTTCTAAGCAGATGATATTTTGGTTATCCCTTTAGAATTACTAATCTTAAATATTATTTCACTGTGTTCAGAGATTGCACTGTTTATGACTTTTAGTTTTTAGAATTTGTCTAGTTTTCCTTTGCAGCCTACAGCAGGATCAATTTTTTGAGGCTGTTCCCTATATACTATTTGTGTGCATGCATATCATTTTATTAGATTTGTGTGTGGTTTGTGTGTATATATATATATATGTCTTCGTCCATTTGGGCTGCTATAAAAATGCCACAGACTAAGTAGCTTATAAACAACATAAATTTATTTCTCATAATTCTGGAGCCTGGAAGTCCAAGATCAAGGTGCTAATAAATTTGAAGTCTAGTGAGGGCCCCTTTCCTGGTCCATAGATGGTGACTTCTCACTTTGTCCTCACACAAGGGAGCTCCCTGGGGCCTTTTTTAAAGGACACTACCCCATTCATGGGGGTTCTGCCCTCCTGACCTAATCGGCTTCCAAAAGGCCCCACTTCCTAATATCATCACATTGCAGGTTGGGATTTCAACAGATAAATTTTGAGGTGACACATCCAGACCATAGCAATATATATGCATATGTGTGTGCATATACATATGTTATATGTGTACACATAATATGTATGTACATACATGTTTATATACATGTACATATACATATATGTATATGTAATGCATTTTTATATAATTAAGTTTAATTATGTTATCAAATCTTTACTTATTTTTGCCTACTTTTTGATTGATTGATATCTGACAGATATGGTAAATATCTACTATGTGGATTTAGTAATTTTACTTTGTTTTTCTATCCATTTTTGCTGTATGTATTTCATAGCCATATTCTTAAATGCATACAGATTCATGGTTTTTATTTACTTAATTTTATACACAAGTTAATACACAATGCACTCTTATTGTTAAAATGCAAACAATACAGCTGGGTATGGTTGAAGGGCTGAGGTGGGAGGATCACTTGAGGCCAGGAGTTTGAGACCAGCCGGAGCAATATAGGGAGACCCTGCCTCTACAAAACATTTAAAGATTAGTCTGGGTACAGTGGCTCACCCCTGTAATCTTAGCACTCTGAGGGGCTGAGGAGGAAGGATTTCTTGAGCTCAGGTGTTCAAGACCAACCTGAGCAAGAGTGAGACCCCATCTCTATTTAAAATAGAAAAATTAGCTGCAGGTGGTGGCACACACCTGTCGTCCCAGCTACTCAGGAGGCTGAGGCAGGAGGATCATTTGAGCCAGTAGGTTGAGGTTGCAGTGAGTTATGATTGCACCACTGTACTCTGGCCTGGGCAACCGAGTGAGACCCTGTCTCAACAACAACAACAACAGCAAACAATACCGAAATACAAGTGAAAAATCACTACTCAGTATCATATACGTTAAACCAACAATAAGATGCCATTTTCCCCACAATTGAATTGGCAGACTTTAAAGATAATAGTCTGTGATGCCAAGTGTGTGGGAGAAGTGGATCCTCTCACGTGTTGTTGGCGAAAGTACAGCGAGTGAAGTTCTTAGAACATTGTCGGCACATGGTAAAAGTCAAATAAATGTTACTTCTTATTACCAGTGGAATTATTGGGGGTGACATTTAAGGTTTGGCAGATAATACCAAATCTTCCACCTAAAAATCTTTAGTTGCTCTACATGAAACCCATCCTGCTCTGAGTCCCGTCCTGCGTCAGCATGAGGAAAGTGCAATCTAAGCCACTGTTTCCTCTCCCACCCATCAGGGCTGTGCACCCATCAAGGCTGTGCAGGGTTGTTTTGGTTGCCAAAATGTGAGAGTGGCCCCTCTGTGGCTCCCTAGATCCACGCGTTTCCTGGGACTGTGCACCATGCTGGCCACATGGTCCTTGTCTTCAGGATACCCTGTGTCTCGCGTGGGTCAAGGAACCCTTTGGTGAGGTTGGGAGCCCAGGGGCCCAGACCCAGTTCAAATCTCACCATCTCCTTAAGGGCCCTGCTGGGGACAGTGTCCGGGTCCTTGAGTGGCGGAGACCCACAGACCTCTGACTCCTTCCCAGACCCCAGGAAATGCCACTTCTCCGGCATCACATTCCTCCCCTTCCAAGACTCCTCACATAGTCTCTGCTCTGTGGCTTAACATTTTTGCACAAGAGGGGAAGGGCCTTGACAGCCGACGGCTTCTGCCTTCTTTCCTGTTCGGAGGTGGGGAATGGCACATTCTGCCCGGCTACTGGAACTGAGGAGGCTGGAAAGAAAACTAGATGCTAATAGGTAAAAAGGGATATTCCACTATATTCTCCTGCCGCCATGTTTGTGATTATTATTCTACCTGAAAGACTTACACGACTTGACTTTTTCCCAGCTCCCCCCCTTGCACATAGGCACTCAGGCACACATGCACACACACCCCCCTTTGCGCAATCAGGGTAGTCGCCATCCAGAACTTTCTCGCACCTCTCTGTGAGCAGAGATCGTATTCAATAGCTGCTAACTAGGCTCTCTGGCCCTGTCGGCTCCGAGTTTGTCTTTCCTGTAGGATCATCAAGTTGCCAGGCAACCACCAGCAGGTCGGCCTCTCACGTGGTTTTCTTAAAGAAAATGGCAAAGCTCTCGTTCCCGTTAGGGTCCAGGCGAGGCCTAATTAGTGTGAGCCGGGAATCGATGGTGGTGGGGGGAGTGGGGCTGGCGCTGGAGGGGAGGAAGGGCGTGACGAGCACGGAGGACGGCTGGCAATGGGCGCTTGGGAGCCGGTGTGATAATGGCCCTGCTCTCCTGGGGTCTGCGTCTGAAAGTCACCCACAGACAAAGTCGTAATTTGCCCTCTTACTGTCTCCACGATGGAGCCTGGGGTGGGGCGCAGCCTGGGGGCATTTTTAGGCTCATATCTGAGCTGTGATTGGAGAGATAGGGGATCTTTAACCTGCAGAAGATTCTTTTTGAGGATGGGAGACATGGCCGTCTTCAAATATTTGGAAGCTGAAAGTGCAGAAAGGGGATCAGACTGGTTCTAGTTGGCGAACGTGGGCTCATCAGGAGGGAGTGGTTTTGAAAGTGCAAGTGGTTCATAACGGGAAGCGTTTGTCTTGGCGCAGCCGTGAATTCACTGCAGCACAGGCACGCAGGCTGGGGAAAGGGCGTGCGCGGGCGGGCGAGACTGTTACCCCTGGTGGGTCCGTCCAGCCTGGACAGGCTCTGTGACACCTCGGCTTGGATGCGTTTGCATTCCTGTTTGGACACAAATAGCTCCGGGCACTCCATCTGCCCTGCTGTCTTAGTCTGGTCAGGCTGCTATAACAAAATACCAAAATCTCTAGCTTATCAACAACAGAAATTTAGTTCTGGAGGCCAGGAAGTCTAAGGTCAAGGTGGTGGCAGATCCGGCATCTGTCGAGGGCTCCACTCTGGTTCACAGAAGGTGCCTTCTCGCCGTGTCCTCACGAGTTGGAAGGGGCAAGGCCGTTTTCCGGAGCCTCTGTTACAAGGGCGCTAATCCCACTCATGAGGGCTGCACCCCTGTGACCTAATCACCTCCTAAAGCTCCCACCTCCTAGTTTCATCACATTGGCAATCAGATTTCAACATATACATTTTGGAGAGGACGCAAACATTCAGGTCATACCACCCTCCCATGGCCTGGGCCCTGGGGAATTGCCACCCTCTGGTCCCCATTGGCAAGCGTTGGGTAGCTGCCGATCTGTCAGTGTCCTCTTCATGCACAGGAATCACCATGGGGCCCTCCTGAACCCATAGGTACCACTGGGGCCGTGGCTGGTGTGGCCGGGGCTGCTGCTGGGGGCACAGAGTAGGGGATGGGGTGGTCTCGAAGGAGGGACAGTGGAAAGGATGGACCCACTCTTGCTGGAACAGGTGGCAGCACGAGCGTGGGACAGGCCGAGGGATATAAGCAGGAATCCTGCAGTTGGAACACGGAATGGAAAGTTGTGGAGTGAGTAAGAGAAGGTGGAGGGAGGTGGGTGCCAAGCAATGGCAAATGTCATTGCAGATGTTGGCCTGTCCGACGAGGGAGAGGTCAGGCAAGGCGGGAGGAACCAGCTTCTGGGGGACCAGCCGTTACACAGCAATGAGCGCTGACATTTGGGGGGCGTGTCTGTGCTGTGCTAGGTGTGGCCATCTAATCATCTTTAATCGTCACAGCAACCACTAAGATAGGCGACATCATCCCCACTTCGCAGGTAAAGAAACTGAGGCACTAGGAGTCTCAGAGTGACTCAAGAAGTGGCAGAGAAAAGACGCAAAACCAGATATCCCCTCCTCCAAATTCCACCTCTGTTCGACCTTGCTGCTGCCTGGACTCAAACCCCTCAGAGATCCAGCCACTAAGGCTACAGCTGTGCACACAGCCTGGGCCCCTTGGTTGGAGGGGCAGGGGTTGTTACACCTGAGAGTTTAGGGTCACTCTATTGTTCCTGTCTTTCTTTATAGATTTATTTTTCTTTTACACTTACAAATAGGGGGTGAGGGAAGGAGAGAGCTCGTGGATAAAGGGCATTAAAGCGTACCGCTGGTGGACGTTCTACAAACGCACGCACCTGGGTGACCGTCACCCAGGCCAGGGCATGGAGCGTTGCTCTCGACACAGGTCAGAACTCCACTGGAACAGCTAAATGTATACATTAATGGGCCGTGTGCTGCTGGATAGGGCCTAACAAGATCTGCTAACACAGATGCTGCCGTGTTTTCTCCTCAAATGCTGTGGTTTCCAGAGCCCCGAAGAGGGGAGGTGATTGTACTGCAGATAAGAGTCTGGAGCCCAGCGTTTGGGATGATTAATGATGCCTGGGCTGCTGCTCTGATTCGGTCTGATATGGCGAGGAGAAAGCCTTGTTTAAACTCCCGCTGTTCCAGCCCCGCCACCGCCTTGCTCTGTTATCTCAGCGGGGAGCCGTGGGGACGGCGCTTCCCCCCACCCCCACTGCACTGCTAGGGAGCCGAGGCAAAGGAGTGTTTCTGCAGTGTCACCTGGGGACCCAGAATGTTGCCTTGCAGCACCTGGGGGGTGGGGGGCTCCCACTGTCCCCAGCAGGTGTTCTGGGACCCCCTGCAGCCCACTGCCTTTGAAGAGGTGGGGGAAGAGGCCTGGGTGGCCTGTCTAGAGGATGAAAGTGCCAGATGGCCGCCGGGCAGGTGTTCCAGCTGACCTGACAACCTTATCAGATGCACCGTGGGGCCCAGCCCCCAGCAGACAGTAATGATTTTCGAAGGTGGCAGAGGAAGGTGTCCCCTCTCTTCCCTTCCCTCCACCCATCTCTGTGACCTGCCTCAGGTTGGTCGGAGGGCCATCCAGTGGTTCTTGGCTGCCTACTGTCACTCGGTTCCCATCACACCAGATCCCTGGAAGGGGCTGCTGGCCAGGCCCCTAGCAGGGTCTTGGCTGCCTCCCAAGCTTGCCAGCTACAGGCAGAGTGGGAGGGGAACAGGCTGTGGCAAGTGCCCCTGGGCTGGCTGGCCATGTGGATATTCCCGTTACAGTCGCGTTACTGATCTCACTGTGGTCACGCTGGCTGCTCTGCCCTCATGTGCTGGACCCAGACCTACAGCTTTTTAGTTTGTCAGCTCCCAGATGCTCAATGGGTTGGAGGGAAAAAGAGAGTAACTCTGGATGTCCCCACCCTGGAAGGGTGGCCAAACTTCACATCCAGCTACTACGGTTATCAGTTACATATCAACAATACCAACTTTCTATTCCAAATACCCATCCTAGCTGTCTGGGGCCAGGACTGCTGCTCCCACAAAAGACAGAAGGGAGCTTGCAGGTCGAGATGGCACCCTGAACACATGTGCTTTCCTGCCACCCCATTAAGATTCCATGGTGAAGGCAGGGACGGACAGAAGGAAGCAGACCCGTGATGATAGGGAAAAGAGGAAGGCAGAGTAATTGCTAACACCCAGCCAAAGTAGCTGAATACTTTCAACACTGCGGAGGACATAGTTGTCACTTCCCCCAAAAAACTCAAATTCAGAGTCCAATAAAGAGAGTAACCACCTGCTTGGCATCTTTTCTAGGAAGAGGTGGAAGAGCTTGTCTGGGGCGGGACCCTGGACTCCTGGTGTGTGTGATGGTGTTCTTGACTACATTCGAGAATCCTCTGAAATATCCCAATGCCCTGGCTGCACCCTAGACCCATTAAATCAGACCATCTAGGGAGGGGACCCAGGACTCAGTATTTTTATAGCTCTCCAGTTGAGTGCATTGGGCAGCCAAGGTTGGGAACCATGGCCCTGGAGTACCTCTTCTTTCAGACATTGGGGAGGAGGTGAAGCATTCTGTCCCCTGGGTGCCACCCTTAAGAGAAGCTTGCCAGTCAATAGGAGGGCTCTTCAGATACACTCTCTACTGTCCCTCCCCGGCTGGGGACCTCCTCACCAGCCTCTGGGTTCACTCCTCTCTCTGTCTCCACCCTCCCTACTTGTCCTCCCACTGCTCCTGGAATGATCTTCCTAAGGACCAACTGGAATTCATCACACCCTTCCCCTGTGGTCCCTGCAGACCAAGTTCTAGCACAGAGACTCTCCAAAAAATTCCCACCTTTTTCTTTCCAACCCAAATCCCTCCCCTAACCTTGTACTCCCAACCGAAGGCTGGGGCTCATCCTGTTCTTCCTTGTGTTCCTTCCCCACAACCCCACCTCCAGGTGACCTGCGCACAGAAGATGCTCACATTGCCGGGCGCGGTGGCTCACGCCTGTAATCCTAGCTCTTGGGAGGCCGAGGCGGGCGGATTGCTCAAGGTCAGGAGTTCAAAACCAGCCTGAGCAAGAGCAAGACCCCGTCTCTACTATAAATAGAAAGTAATTAATTGGCCAACTGATATATATATAAAAAATTAGCCGGGCATGGTGGCGCATGCCTGTAGTCCCAGCTACTCGGGAGGCTGAGGCAGAAGGATCGCTCGAGCCCAGGAGTTTGAGGTTGCTGTGAGCTAGGCTGACGCCACGGCACTCACTCTAGCCTGGACAACAAAGCGAGACTCTGTCTCAAAAAAAAAAAAAGAAGATGCTCACATGGAGGCTTGCTGAGCCGAGCTGAGTGTAGCAGAACACAGTGTCTCTGGCTGCAGATTAAAGGAAACATAATTTTTCCTTGCTGAGATGCTCTGGCCATAAACGGTGTGGTTCTAAGGGAGAAGGGAAATTATAAGCAGCTTGAAAACTCAGCATTCTTCCAAACCTACGACTTTGGGCTGCTGTTCATGGTTTATTTCAAATATTTTAAGTATAAATATCTGTACTGATCTTACCAATTAATAAAATAAAGCAAGCTCATTGTAAATTAAAAGCAAAATAGGGATGTGTATAAAGCAGAAAGTGAATCTCTTCTTCTTGCTCCTCTCAGTAATAGCCACTGTCAACAGAGCAGTGACAAACTTGCTGGCCTTTTATTACCCGAGTGCCATGGACTGAAGGAAGGCCCGTGTCCTCCCAGAGAAGATGGGGCCTTTGAGAGGTAATTAGATTCTGAAGGTAGAGCCCTCATAACAGTATTTAGTGCCCTTATTAAGAAGAGATACTATTAATCGTAGGGCCACAGGAAAAAAAAAAAAAGGAAGAGACACTGGAGAGATGGTTTCCCCGTCCCCCCTCCCCAACTAGGTGAGGACATATCCAGGAACTGGACACTCACCAGGACCAGAGTCTCCTGAAATCCTGATCTTGGACTTCCCAGCCCCCGGAGCTGTGCGTGATCAATTTCTATTGCTTGAGCTGCCCGTCCATTGGTATCTGGTGACAGCAGCCTGAATTAAAATGGCATGCAAAGTTTTCTCCCCTCATACTCTACACAGTGCTTTCCTCACTTGTCAACGTATCATGAACATTCTTTCCAGGAACACAGGCTCGTCTCACACCTTTTAAACACTGCCGGGTATTGTACCTTCACTGATTTAACCAGGTTCCCTTTGATGATGCATGGCTAAGTTGTTCCTATTGTTAGCTATAAGATTTTCAGTTTGTGAAAATAACATGGAAAATGCAAATGGTAAAAACAGTTCATGAGAAACACATGAACAAGAGAAACAACAGCCACAATCCCTTATCTAAGCACAACTGTTTTGTAATATTTCCTTCTAGGCATTGCTCTTCCCGTGTGTTTTTGCTAAGACATTTTGGACTTGGTGTCTATACAGTTTGGGTCCCACTTTGGCATGTATTTCATCATAAACTTACAAAATGCTATGACTAGTTTTCACGACCACTGGGTTTGGCAGCTGCTTAAAGCCCCCAAGGAGCTGTATGGGGTTTCTGAGCTATTCCCTGGGGGAGGACATTTTGGTTGCGATGGACGTTTCACTGTGGGTGGTTCCAGCCCCTTAGGAATCGTCAATCCTGGTCAGGGTGATGGTGCTGTTCTCCAGGTTGCTTTTCTGTCTCATCAGCAGCCTCCTGCAAAACCCGCCTCCCAAAGTGCACTGCATTTTCTAGAAGGTGTCTCTGGTCTTGTGCTTTTCCACCTGTGTCTCTCTGCCAGTTCTTCTACCAGCAGCCCTGGGTCAGGCCTCGTTAGAGACCTCTTCCTGAAGACGCTCCCTAAGGATACCTGGGCGCAGTGTGCACCCACGTGGCCCAGCACTCCCAGCCAGCATCTGCACCTTTCCTTTTCCATTTCATGGTGTGAGTTACTCACCACTGTGTGCTCAGTGGGTGAAAATGAGGGTGCAAGGGGGAAAGGAAGGTGGGGATGCCTTGCCCCTCAACACCCACAGATTGCCCCCTGGCTCCTCCCAGGGCCTCTGGTGGCCTGTGGGCCTGCAGGTGGAAAGGCCAGTCCTACGCTGTACCCTCCTCCCCCACCCCTGTAGCCTCCTGCCCCTAAAGCAAGTCCAAGCCCCTTGGTACTTAGGCTCCCCCGGAGTGGGGTGGTGTCCCAGGGCAGCGCTGGTGTGGGGCCAGGAAGGACTGATCGTTCAATCCCCACAACAAAGGGGCTGTTACTGGCGCTGGAGGGGAGCAACCACTGCTCTATCCCTGCAGCCAGTGCTGCCCCTCACCTGAGAGCCTCCCTAGGTTTTAACGAATCTCTGTGTCTCACAGTCACCTCTAATTGCATTGCCTTCGTTGGGAAGGAGAGTGCTTTCCCGCAGCTCCGATTGTTCACGTTCCCTGGGCTTTGCCTCCTCAGGCCCCAGCCTTGTCCTTGCACATCCAGCAAGCGACATGAGCAGCTCTGCCTGCACCCCCACCCCGACCCCCACACCTCACCTGTTCTCCCTTGTCCTGCTGCTGAGGGCCAGGAGTGGAGAGCGGAGGCACCCTGAGGACCCCCAGTTCAGGCAAAACGCGGCAAGGGCTCTGCTCCATGGTTGAAGCAGCTATTGCCACTGGGAAGAGCTGCTAATGTGTTTTCTCCTCTCATTCCTCTCCAAAGACCTTCCTCCACCACCGTCTCTCGGGCACGTCTAGGAAGAGGTGAGTACCAGCTTCAGGTTTGGCTTCATTCATTCATCGAGCAAACATTTATTAGGCCTCTAATATGTGCAGGCACTAGACAATCAAAAACTACTTATTTAACACAGACGTTATTCTCAGCACAGCGTCCAGGTGGGGTACACTGCCATAGACGCAATTTTAAGACACAGCCTTCGAGTAGTTTCAAATCTACTTGGACATAGAAGAAACAACTATATGTTGAATACTTAATCAGATCCAGTACTGTTCAAGGTAATACTGTCTTTTTTTTTTTTTTTTTTTTTATAGAGACAGGGTCTCTGTCACCCAGGCTGTAGTGCAGTGGCATGGCCATAGCTCACTGCAACCTCCCATTCCTGGGCTTAAGTGATCCTCCTGCCTCAGCCTCCCAAGCAGCTGGACCACAGGTGTGCATAGCTGCGCTCTCCTGAGCCTCAGAGCTTTTAGCCCTTTCTTCTGCCATCACCCACCTTGCCCTCTGTGCTTCAGTAATGCCAAGCTGCGCTCTGTGCCCCGTAGACACGCTGCTGTTTCGCATCTCAGTACCTTTGCTCATGTGGCTCTTGCTGCCTGGAGACCGTTCTCACCGTTCCTTCCTTCAGCATCTTCTGTTGCATCTGTCCTCAGAGTGCCAGGTTAAATGCCATGCACCCGGCTTGTGCAGCCCCCTAGCTGAACACTCACAACATCATATTGAAATGAGCTGTTGGTGAGTGTCTTTCGAACTAGACTGCAGGCTTCACTGAGGCAGGAAACATGACTTCTTCACTTTGGTCCGGCCACAGGGTCAGGGCTCTAAAACTATCGGGTGAACAGAACAGGTAGGTGAAGTCACTTGTGTAAAGAGCTACTGCTACCACGGGGCAAACGTGAGCTTTGGTTGCTGCTAACCTAAGGCACACTCGTGTGGATGAACTGCAAAAAGGCAAGTCCTTTGGGAGGACTGATTAGGAAAAGTCACATCTTCCCTGGCTGATGCAGCCCTGGGTCAGGTCCCAGGGCTTGGCTGAATAAGAAATAGATTTCAGCTCCAACTTTCACGCCTTGGGCCAGGTGACCCAGCTCAGGCACGACAAGGGCCACCTGAAACCCACACTTTTCTTCTCTGCCATGTGAACAAGAGCAATGTGATCCCAAAACATTTTCAAGCTAACAGAAAGCTCTGTGTGTGTGTGTGCGTGTGTGTGTATGATTTTTTAACAAAAAGTGGATAAAATAGTAAAAGTCCCAAACAGCAGCTACCATGTTCCTCTTGACCCAAATCCAGAAGTTATTCTTTTACCCCAAAACTATGCAAAAGAAACTCACCCCTTTGCCTGGACACTAACAGGTGCCAGCGGCAGTGGGAAGAGAGTTTCTGAGAAAGACTGAAGGGTGCAGGTTGCCAAAGATAAAGAACATCTTGGCCGGGCGTGGTGGCTCACGCCTATAATCCTAGCACTCTGGGAGGCCAAGGTGGGAGGATTGCTCGAGGTCAGGAGTTTGAAACCAGCCAGAGCAAGAGTGAAACCCCATCTCTACTATAAATCAAAAGAAATTAATTGGCCAACTAATATATACAGAAAAAAAAATTGGCCTGGCATGGTGGCGCATGCCTGTAGTCCCAGCCACTTGGGAGGCTGAGGCAGTAGGATCGCTTGAGCCCAGGAGTTTGAGGTTGCTGTGAGCGAGGCTGACGCTACGGCACTCACTCTAGCCTGGGCAACAAAGCGAGACTCTGTCTAAAAAAAAAAGAGAGAACAGCTTGTCCTGGGATGGGGCCCATTTAGTCAAGGAGGGAAGGTATGTCTTCAAACAGTTGAATTTGGATTTGAGGTGCATGCCTGTATTCCCAGCTACTTGGGAAGATGAGGTGGGAGTATCTCTTGAGGCCAGGAGTTTGAGACTAGCCTGGGTGACATATTGAGACCCTGTCTCTGCACCTGTAGTCCCAGCTACTCAGAGGCTGAGGCAGGAGGATGACTTGAACCCAGGAGTTTGAGGTTGCTGTGATGTTGTGAGCTATGATGATGCCACTGTACTCTAGCCCTGGTGACAGAGTGAGACCCCATCTTTAAGGAAAAAAAAATAATTTAGATTTGAAATCTATAGGCTGAGGAACTGCAAGCAAGAAACTGAGCATTCTTTTGCAAATAGGAATAAAGGACTTAGTCTGAAGAGGTGAGCCTTGCAAAGCAAGAATAGGGTGCGGGTTCAAAAAGGAGTCAAGTGAAACTGAGTTTCAGTTTCTTCGTCTGTAAAATGGGGATAATAATACCT